GGGTCTGGGCTGCAGGTTTGGGGTGATGAGTGAGTGGGGAGGGCCTGGAGGGTCAGATCTGGGGGCCTTGAGCACCAGGGATGGGCAAGGGAAAGCTGCACCTAAGGAGGTGGAGCTGACCCAAGGTTTGGGGGAAGGACATTTGTGGGACAGACTGGTCAGTCACTGGTTGAAATGGGGAGAAGGGTCAGTGCCCCCTGCCCTGCAGGTGAGGGGCTGTCAGGTGCCTCTGGGCTCTGTGTTTTTTGGCAGCTGGGTGTCCTCTCCTGCCCTTGACCTGGAATGCTGGGCTCTGTCACCTGCTGTGTGTGGCTTTTGGGGGAGGGGGTCCCCTGCTGCCCTCACCTCCTGCCCCTGGGAATTTGGGGGTTGGCAGGAGGAGGCAGGAGCTGTGCTTCACAGCCATGTGTTTGTGCTGCTGTACTACCCTGATCACATCCTCAGTGGGAGAGTTGGCTCTGTGGCATTCAGCTACAGCCTGTTAAATTCCTCCAGTGACTGACAGAGAAGTTTGGAGTGACCACAGTGAGGTTTAGGTATAATAGTTTCAGTAACACCTTTTTGATAAGCCAGCCTTGGTGCTGGAATTTGGGAGGACCGTTAGGATCACAGGACAGCTGGGTCATTGTGGGTTGTAGAGCCTCACCTGATCATCGATTGTGCTGCTTTTACTGACCTTTGATTGAAGTATCCTCAACTCACCCGCTCTCAACAAGTGACAGAGTTGCCTTAGTTGTTAATTATTAATATCCTCAATTATCTCCACTTTCCAAAATGAAGCAAACAGTTAAAAACAAGTTTTTAACTGAACTCCTTGTTGTTGTATCTTTCCCTGTGTTTGCTGTGTTAGGTATGAAAAAGAAGTGGATTCTTTCCTAATTGATAATCTTTGGTGATAATTAAGTAATCCCCTTATCTTTCTTGTTAAATCAACTTGACTTCAGGGTGGCTCTTTCAGGTCTCTGATCATCTTGTAGTTATTTCTACCAGCATTTCTGACTTTTAACTCTGTGTTGAAGTGTTGTTCCCTGAGCAGGAGGGTGACAGTCCATTATTGATCTCACTGATGAGATGTAAACACATAGTATTGTCTTTCTCCTTGATACCCCTTTCCAAGGCTCCCCTTAGTCCCTTTTGCTCCAGGCTCATGTCAGGATTTAATGTTCACGTGGCATCTGCAGTGCTGCCCAAAGTCCTTAATGTCATTGTCTTCCCTGATACAATTCCCATTCCTATAGCAGGGCTGGTGTTTTCCAAAGCATGACCTTGCATTTGACTGTTTTTAAGATGTTGTTTAGAAGTTCTTATCATCAGGGAAAACATTTTTTATTAGCTTTTCAGCAGCGTAATCCCAGGAATGGGGTTATTCTCTAGCATGCTGACCTTGGTCTGAGGAATGCTGGTCTTAATGTGCTGTCTGCTCTGAAAGTTTTGGGTTTTACTTTCTAGCTTTTGATTCCCATGGGAATGAAAAAGGAGAGAGCTTAAATGCAGTCTGAAATGGAAAGGAGGAGCTTTGACCTGTGATTTGAGATTAGACTCTCAAAAAGAGAAAATGTGTGAAGAAACATAGGAGAGGGTGGGGTTTTTTTGGAGCAAAGATTGAAAACTTGAAAATTGCTGGGACCGGAACATAACATACTATGGGATGGACATGCAGGTAGAGCTAAAACTTGTCTTAGTGTTTGACATGAGGAACAGAATGATGCTTGTCTGGAAGGAGTCAATCTTAGATGTGTTTCCTAACCTAAATGATTCCACAATAATGAGAATTCTGGTTATGCTGTAGTTTAAAGTTTGAGAAAGTTTTCTAGTCTAACTAGGAAGAAACCACTTGACCTTGGAGTAGAAGAGGGGCTCTGCCCTCATGGATGTAGGAATGAATATACAACTTACTAAATATTGCTGCTTGTTGTTGGGAGTTGTGGTAGTGCAGGAGAAGTGCTTGTGGAAGGGGAGCAGAGTGGCTTGTCAGCTAAGCATGATTTAAACACACTTCTTAAGTAGTTCTATGGTTTTAAATGTAAAACAAAGTTATGAAATATGAAACTTTAATCACTGCTGACCAGGAAAGAAGTTAGATGTCTAGTGACTTATATCACATCTGGTTATGTGATGCTGAACTGGCACTGAAACTTTTCAGAGTACTGAAATCATCTGATAACTGCTCTTTTTTTCTTAAAAAAAAAAAAAGAGCCCAAGCAAAAGAAAACAAAATTATAAGTGTTTTTCAAAGGCCTTTCTGGTCATGCTCTAGTTGAGGATCAGTAGTCTATCAAAAAAGACCAGTTTTCTTTCAGTGACAGAAGCTTCCTCTGGTGAATGCTGGCATCTCTCCTCTGGCATTTAGTGCTGGTACCACGGAATTGATGTTGGATTCAGTGTCTGACTCTTTCACCAGGGCTGTGGCTACCTGTGTGTTTACAAAGACCTTTCCAAACACTGAGTGTGGATTATCCTTCTGGAGTCTGCCAAGGAATCATTCTCCTGTTTTTCAAACCACTGGAGTTGCCCTCTGTTGGTTTGTAGCTGCCAGCAGGAACACTGACTTGGATATTTACTTTAAAAACTCTGTGGGTAGAAGTGAAAGAGTTGGTCTGGTAATAGTGGCTAGTTCAGTTTGCACTGAGGGGAGGTTTTGCCTTTGGGAAGAAAATTGATCCAAGAGGAAATTTGTTGTTGAAACATCTGGTGTTTCCAGAGATGCTCTGCCTGTGCAGAGGCACTTCTACAGGAAGTGATGAGCTCAGTCACTTCTTTTTTTTTTTTTTTTTTGGATAAGGAGGGATAAACAGTTTATAGAAGGTAATGTCACCTTTGTCCAAGCTTGGGGTTGTTTTTTGGTGGTTATTTTCTTTTTTTGATAAGGAAAAGAATCAAAAGCTTTTACTCTGCATTCTGAGAGAAGCACTTGATATCCTGATATTTTAGTAGCCTGTTTTTGTACCTGCTCCAGTTTGAACTTCCTCTGAGTTGGATAAGGGGTGAAGTGCTGTGCTCTGTGCATGGCAGTCGTGCACCCTTTTCTACTGCCAAATTACTGTATCCAAGGACCCTGGTTTCTAATGGAGGCATTAGACTCGTGACTGGTGGTGTTTTGTATTTGACTGGTGCACTTGGGTCCTTCTGTCACCATTTTATGGAGCTGAAATCCCACTTCAGAGACTAACAAGAGCCTTTTGTGATGTTGCACTAGTCACATACCTTTGTGAGGAAGTTTCATCCCATTTCTATTGCTCAGATCTTCAGAGTCATTCAGGTCTTCCTGTATAGAATCCCTGTAGAGGAAAATCAGTGTATTTCCTAGGTTTGACTTTAGGATTTTTAGTTGGTAATTTGTTTTACTATTTTTTGTGCTAAGGTGGTTACTAAGAATATAAATTGGTTTCTTACCTGAAATTTAATACCATTTACAGCCTTCTAATTGTATTGCTTTTTCACTGCAACTCATTTTTATCTAATTCATGGTGGACTTCAGTTGTTCTGAGAATTCCAGTCTTTTCCAGTTTGACACCCTGAATGGTATCAAATGCTGAAGGCTGGATGACTCTGCTGTCCCTTTCCTAGGAAGTGTACTGGAGCAGGGAAAGAACCAGCTGATTTGTTAAATGCACTTAAAATAATTCTGTATTTTTGCTGGTTTTCTGTATTTCCATCAAAGCAGGAGGAAGTAAACTTAGTCAAAGATACTTTGATGGTAAAATGTGAGTGACTCATAGACTTTTAAAGTGAGAAAGCAAATTTTTTTTGTTTTGCTTTCTAGCTATGAGGATGTGACAGTAAGTTCCTGAAAAGTTCAAAATGTAGTTCTGTATTATGATTACTCTGAGAGAGTAAAAACTCTTCTATGTTTTCAAATCTAAGGTCCTGCAAAACGTTAGTAAGAAAGCGCTGAGAACAACACGTGTGACAAACTTTTGGGGGTAAAGTCCATAAGGATTAAAAAAAAAAAAACAACCAACCAAAACCAAACAGAAAAACCCAGGAGGAAAATAACCTGAACTCCAACTCCCCTGTCACGTGAAACCAGGGACTCAGATCTGCACCTTAGAGGTTCATAAATTTCCATAAAGATGCATCCAGGTCTTGAAGAATCCCATGTTCGAGCTGAGATCAGTCATAACTAATGAAAAATTTTATTTTTAATATTCTGTTCCCTGAGCCCAAGCTCTATTTCCCTGACAAGGTGAGGGTACCCTCTGCTGAGGCCTTTTAAAGCCATTTAAACCAGACCCAAAGGGTGGACCAGTTGTAGAACTGTGACTTTGGGGCTTTTTTTGCACAAACAAGCAATAATGTAGTTTTTTCAGCTTCAGTTGTCAGTATTTATAGCTTTACTTGAATATTTCAGTGTAGCCAACTCACTTTCCTCATTGTGATTGCTTTGCCTTGAGATATGGGAAGGTGAGCAGGCACAGGGCTGGGTCTGTCACTGCTGATGGCTTTAAATATTGATCAGTACTTCCAACATTCCCTCAAATGAGCTGGGAATGCAAACCCTGGCTAAAACAGGGAGCTGCCCCACTCTGTTCCCCTCTGCTGAACCCTGTCTATAGAAATGTTCTCAGTTCTGCTTCTCATTCTTTTCAATGTCCAGTGGAAAATATTTCCCCCCCTGCTTGTTTGTGTGGGTTTTCTGGATGTTTCTGGACAATCTCACGTTCTGACAGGCATTTTCCCATTGTTTACATCACTTCTGTAGCCTAGGATTTTTCTCCAAAAGCTGAAATTCAGTACTTAGAGAGCAAAACATTTCTGTAGAAAATAAAGTTGCACAGATTCAATATGTAAGTATTAGGTGCTTCTCTGGTGTCTGATAAGGTGAATTAGTGAGAAAGAAAAATGTCAGAGAGGTGAAGGGAGTGAAAAAAAAAATCACACAATTATGAAGTTATGATGAATCATGAGTTATGATACCTCTTGCTTCCCAGGTAGAAGCACAAGTGCTGTAGTATAAGAAGAAATCTCTGGGCCCCAGATAAAATATAGACATTACTTAAGAGATTAGACAGTTTTATTCACTGGCAGAAGGATGAAGGTGAAATGCTAATTGCTCAGGTTCCCTGGTGTGACCAACCTGGCAGAACCTGTATTGGATGTTCAGCCTATTCTGGGATGGCATTTTTCAGGAACATTAAGAATGTACAATTTTCCTGGAAGGTGTTAACATCATCAGATTATGGATCATTTGCCTTGTATGTGGCTGTACAGCCTGTGAGTTTAATAAAAATTTTCCAGCTCCTGCTGACTAATTACTGGCTTAAAGACTAAAACACTCTGTGAAACAGAGTTTTCCTTGGGATGAGTGTAATTGCTCAGACATCATGTACAGTCTGCTTGATTTTTTTTTTTTTCATGGCAAAGAATATAGTTTCTAATTCTGCACATTCATCATGTTCCAGAGCAAGCCAGTGCTTGACTTTATATGAACTTGTAACCCCAAATGTAGCTGTGCTTTTTTGCCTGTTGAATTTTGTGGGAAGAGTGAACTGTAAGTTCAGCTGGGCCTGAATTCCATAATACACCAGTTACTGGAAGGGGAGGAGGGAGCACTGAAGATGCAGAGTGGTTGTTGCTTTAGGTAGTTGCTATTTCAGTCATTACTTGAAATTCAGCGTGCATAATCCTTGAGAAATTATTTCCTGGATCAATTTAAATCAAGGAGCACAGCCATCTATTTGAGTTGAGGACAGCAGCCTGCACGTCTGGATTTGAGCTGCAGCAGCTGATGGCACTTGCTCCTCCTCTGCTGGAGTGTTTTGCTGTTCCTGGCAAATAACAGGATCTTCATCCTGGAGAAAAACTGTGCCCTGGTCAGTTTGAATTTGGTGGTGTTTTCCTTGGTCTTCCCTGCCTTTCCTCCTGAGACTCCTGGGTTCATAATGTCACCCTGGAGCTCTGGGAAGGTGCCTGAAAAAAGGCTGAAGCTCTGGGACGTGACCTGTATTTTTCTGGGATTCCTTTTCCTTTAAGCAGCATTTGGCTCTTACAACTGTATTTAAATACCAATTTCCTAGCGTGTTCTGAACTTGAAAGTTGTATCAGTAAAGAGATGGTCTTCACAGAGTGCTAAAATGGAAGGGAAAAATTTGGATTCGGTAAACTGACCCGTGAGTAAGGAATTGCTGAATGAGTTCCCACTCTGCTCTCTCATGGTGGTGTACTATTGCTAACTCTCACATTTTTGTCTCCTTGAAAACCTGCTTTTGGGTACAGGGTTTGGAAGCTGCCAAATATGAAAGTAATGCTGGCTTGGGAACTGCTGTTTCCTTCAGCATGAATTATGTATATTGCCCCAAAATAAGGAATTATTCTGTAATGTAGCTCCAGGGGCAAATGTTTGGCTTGTAATGCATTTCCCCAAATAAGCAGCACTTAACAGGCTTCTTTATTTTATATACCATATATACATATACTTCTTTATTTTCCCAGATCAGTATTTTGTCTTCTGCATTCCCTGAGTTAATTAGTGAGAAACTTAATTTTGAAAGGAAAACTGTGAAGGTTGTCCCACCTGGGACCAAGAGGCATTTTCCATAGAGTTCTGGTGGAAAAAATCTCCAAACCTGACGTCACTTTGGGCATGAGGAGGCTCCAGTCTGTTTTGTTGAACATGGTCTGCTTTAAATTCTTTTACAGGCATCAGTTTTTTGGGTGAAC